CGTTGGAGTTTATGGGGCTGAGAGTGCTGTGAAGGTGGCTCAAGATCTTAGAACACAGGCTAAAAAAGAACTCGATGGGTTTAAGAAGTATGGTGAGGGTGTGTTGCCACTTTATAGCTTTGTGGATTTTGCTGCTGATAGAGGATTCACCATTGATGATTTAAGTTGATGATGAGTTTAGGTGTTGCACATTATCTGGCCGGTCACATTTGGTTTTTTACCAATGGTGGATTCGAGTCTGATTGCAAGCTTCCTCCTTGATCTTTTGGTTGATACTCAGCTTTTGGAATTTGATACACGGAATGGATTGGATGATATTTGTTCATGTTAGATTATTCCACGATTTTGTTGTTTACCCTGGTTTAGGGTCAGTATGTGAGTAAATGGACAATTGACAAAGCTGTTTTGGTTCTGTTACAAGTCATATGGCAACAAAATAACCGTTCTGGAATAACGAGAAACTGCAAGAAAGCAAATGAGACAAGCATAAGAAGCAACTTTGAAGAGCTTGTCTGTTTGCTTCTCATATATTTATTAGAAGCTGGGCATGTCCAGATGCCTTATGGAAGAATGGAATTCGGTATTTGTAATGATGGATTTACCTTGCTTGAAAATGTGAACATGGGGAAATCCTCCCTTGTAAAAGGAAAATCCTTGCTTTTGCTGCTTACGCTTCTGTATTGCTTCCTCAGTATCCTCCCTAAAAGATGTTACAAAGCATGCTTAGGTAAAGCTAGCAAAACGCATGAATTTATTTTGAAAAATGCAATCCAAGAAAGAAAATTATGTTGTTCTCCTCTCCTTCTGTAAAATTATGTGAAAATTACGTTGCTCTTGAATGATCCATCATCTTTTTATAGTAAATTACTTTAAATGTTTTCAATTGTGTTTTTTCAGTTAAAATTTTATTTAATAATTTAATTAACATTGTTAATTTTTATGTGCTACTTAAGCTTACTTCATTAACTAAATCATTTTTAAAAGATTACAAAATTCATTAAAAATACTTATTTTATATTATTAATAATTTAATTTATATTGTTTAAATAAATGAACATTTTATTTTATTTTTTTCTTTAATGTTAGTACATAAATATTTTGAGACAAAATGAGAAGTCTCCGGTGTGAATTATCAACTCTTTGAGTGTTGTTATGGTTAGATCTTCTGAATTTTTTTTTTTTATTTGATAAATTAAATAATAAGTCAAAATTTTAATCTATTATAATTATTTTATTAAATAAATTTATTTAATTATTACTTAATATTTATTTAACTTAAAAAATAATTTATTAAATTTGAATACTATTATCAATATATTAATAAATTAAATTTTTAATCATACTAAACTAAATATCGTAAATCAATTAATTTTAATTTATATTATATTTACAAAATAAATAAATTATATTTTCAGTAAAGTTCAAATCACATAGAAGATAAAAATTTTAATCACTAAATTATTATATTATTAATTTTTTATTATTATCACTAAATAATTATTTTTAATAAAAATAAAATAAAATAAATTATTGAGCCTTAATCTATACATTACAAAATTTTGTTCATATAAGATGAAAACTTGTAATCTTTTAACTAAAATACATGGATCTTAGCTATTAAATTTCTAAATTATTAGATTTCTTTTTCCCCCCTTTCACTAGACACTTATTACTAATTAAATTTAATTAAAATAGTGTATTTAATTAAATAAAACAAACATTTTGTCTTAATCTATACATTACAAAAATTTTATCCTTCAAAATACATTTTGCCAACTTCGACCTTCCAAGATCATCTGCTAACGTGTCCATTTGTCGTCAATTTAAAGGGACCAACATTAGACATCCACCGAAATATCAGCCCCAGTTATTCATATTATACGGCACCGTTTAGAATACGCCGCAAACCCCGCTTCTTTGATCGGCTGATCCCAAGCAAGCGCACCCCGTGTCGTTACAAGAGTTTCGGGATTAAATCTTAGTCCTCAAGGAATCCAGTCCATCCTGATAAGAGAGAAACTGAGAGAAAAAAGTAAAAGTGTAAAGCGAAGAAAACAAAATTCTGAAAATGTCGCATGATAGCGACGGAGGAGGAGGAGGGAGCGGTAGCTTGGCGGAGAAGCGGAGGCTGGATCAGCTACCAGCAGCTCTACTGGCTACAATCATGACGAAGCTCGACATGGCTTCCGTCTGCTCCGCCGCCGCAACTTGTAAAACTCTCAGGACCTGTGCTTCTCATCTCCTCTCCTTCCTCCCCACCTTCCATCTCCTCGTGAGTATCGTTTCCACCAATTCAAGTTTTTTTCTACTTTATCTCTTTTTTCCCCCATCAAATTTTCTTAATTGAAAATTGTTTTTGATGTAACGAAAACACAAGTTTTCTTAAATCTTTTTTGTATTACTTCTTTTAGGACATTGCACCGTCAAGCGAGTTGATCAGGCCGTTGTTGCCACCAAACCCGTACCTCAGGAGCCTCAAGCTTGACTGTGGTAGACTCGATGATTCAGCGATCGAGCTATTCACTCGGCCTTCTTTGCAAGAGCTTTTTCTTCACAACTGTGAGGATTTTAATGGGCGGTTGCTCTCTGAGATTGGAGCAAGATGCAGGGATCTGAGGTATGTTATTCTCAAAATTCTCTAAATAAGATGTCCTTATCAAGTCTACCTATTCCTATTCTATGATTTTGGTAATTTGCGTGATTTTGGATACATTGCAAGGGATTTGTGTTATTGGGTTTTGTGTACGTGAATTCGTTCAGGGTTCTCTGCTTGGGTTCGGTGGCTGAGAAAAGAGGGCGAGCCATTCATAATTCTGATCTGGAGGAGTTACTTAGTGGTTGCAGTAAGTTAGAAGTAAGGTTCTATAATCAATGATTAGTGAAGCTATGATTAAAAAAAAAAAGTATACTCTATGTTGAAAATAGCGGGTAACATACCCTTGCATGGCATGGCTTACTGCATCGTTAGACTCTTATTGCAACTTAGTCTTTCCCCCAGATCAGCCTTAGGTGATTGGACTAATGTCTTTAAAAAGATAGCACAGCTTGGACTCTTTTGTAAATGAAAATATTTTTTTCTAGTTTTCATTTCCTAAATCTTTTGTGTGGGTATACATGAGCTAATTAAAAAGATGAATCACAAGTTTTGGGAAATTATGGTGAAAATGAGTATGAGATTTGTCTAAAAAAATGAGGATCAGATTTGAAAGAAGTGAAAAGCTGCTTTCAGTTTTTTCTTTAAACTATTTCATTTTATACTTAATTACTTCACAAGCACACATCAAAGCACATGTTTCCGTTAATAAACACGTTGATATATATGAAATTTTTATGAAGTTACAAAAATATTTTTGGATACTAAATGAAGTCTTGTTCTATTAAATGAAGCCTCGTAGTAAGAGTCTGTACTTCTGTTGCAAAAAAGTAAGAGTCTCTACTTAGCCAGGGATATATCTTACTTAATGATTGAGATGAAATTTGGTAATTGGTATTTCTTGGGTCAGACTTAAAGAAACTTTTTTGTTGGTCATCCAATAAAATTTTCATCAGTGTTTCATATTTGGCATTAGTAGCTTGATTATTTGGCAGCTTCCTTTTTTTGTTTAAATGCATAGATGTTTGAAGTGTTTGATATGTAATCTCCAAAGAAAATCTTCAGGCAGCTTGAATGATAACATGCATTTGGCTTCAATATAAATCTTGTTCTGGAGGCTGCATGCTTTAGACAAGAGAGAGTAGCATTATTAAGTTAATCCCACTAGTGCACTAGTTACATTTCAGTAAATTTTAACTGTTTCAGTTATGTGCTTAATTTTTTTACTTCCTGATCTGCTTCAGGAAGTTATGTAAATGTTCTAATAATTCATTCCTTCTCATGCCAGTTAGGGAAAAAAAATTGATAAAACAGGTGCGTTAGATCCACATTAGGTACTTATTAGATTTAACACTGATGTGACTCTGACAAGAAAATTTCCCAACTTCTTATAACTAACATTTATAGAACTTTTTGCATCTAATTGGAATAACCGATGTAAATGAAATAAGGTGCAAACTTTTGAGATGTAAAGAAAAATTAATTTTCCATTTTTTTCAAACTTGATTCTTTATCTAATTTTTTATGATAGCATTAACTCATTCAGTGAACTATCATATGTTTAGATTTTCCCATAGAAAATCTTGTCCATGTAGCACAGTCTAACATATTGGCCAATGAAGGTATGTACTCTGAGCATGATATATCACTTAGGACAAATTAGAGACTACTTGTTCAACTTAAGGATTTAGGATAAAACATAGATTTCAGATTTAGAGTTCTTAGATATCAATCTAAGAATTTTTAAGCATTACAAATTAGGGTTGATTGCATCACCCAACTTGAAAGATTGGAATTTTTCTTAAAACTCTATTGAATAACTGAACTTGTCTCAAAAGACTGATTACAAAGGTATTCATAGTGCTTCTTAAGTAACATTTCTCAAATAAGATTAGACTTCAGGAATACTGATATTTTATTAGAATTACAACAATGGATTCCTAAACAATATAATTCTAGATTTAAAATATATATATTTCCTAATCAATGTAGAAAATTGAAACAAAATCTAGTCAGCATCACTCTCTCCTGGTTGGAAAAAGCTCAACCACGAGTTTTGAAGGAATAAATGACATAAAACCTTGATGTCAGAGCTTCCCTACAAAAATTTATTTGATTTTGCACTTAGTCATCTTTGTCAGAAACAAAAACAACGCAAACACATTGTTTAGAACCGTTAACCCTTTGCATCATGATGAAATCAGCATTATTTATCCTCCCTTGGATAAAAATTTCTTTTTCCATGTTGCTAATCTGTTTTGCACCATATCAATCTGTTACCAAAGAACTCTTTATTGAATAATTAAACTTGTCTCAGAGAACTGATTATAAAAAATTTTACATTACTTCTCTATTAACCTTCTACCAAATAGGATTAGACTAATATTACTAAAATCATAATAATAGACTTCTAAGCAACACAATAATTCTAGATTTAAAAGAAATTTAATTCTTAATCTATTTTGAAAATCTAAAATCAAATCTATTATGCATAACCATACCAAGTCATTTGATCATGAGAATTTATGTAAGACTGCTTTGCTTAGTTCTTCTTCTTTTGGAATGTCTATTAAATTGTCCCCATACGTACAAAGTTAAAAATTAGAGCAAAAAAATAGTTTAAATATGTAATTTGGTTATATGTGGAGCTCAGATTTTCTTATATGGATTATTCTTCTGAGTTATCTGGGTAAATCAATGACAATGTCTTCTGACCATGAGATGAGCGAATCTATTTTTCATGAAAAAGGACGACTTCTATTAAGATTTGAAATCCATTTTACTTGTAATAGCCCATTCAAGTTTTTGCAATGCTTCATCTTTTATTTTATTATTTTTTAGCATCAACAGAAATGTAATGAATTTTGGGGAAATTGTTGTCCCTGAGTTTCTCTTGAACTATTTATTAGGTGTTTACATGTCATTTAAAAATTCCACATTTGAAATTATATTAATATGTAATGTGATGCATTTTGTATTTCTTTTCATTTTTGTTATTACCATAAATTTTCTAAAGATGTTATGCGTGTTATCTCTTTTCTTTTCATAGGCACTGATGCTGATGTTCGATGTCTCATTATTTGTTCGTAATAACTTCCCTCGTGTTTGGTCTTTAGCTTCACAAAAACTTACTTATCTTGAGATTGGCTACATTTCTTCTGTTATGGTTACTGAACTGCTTAGCCCAAATATCAGACCCCATCAGTCCCTCAATCCCATTCAGCCGTTAATATTGCCAAACATCCAGAAATTGTGCCTTTCAGTTGACTATATTACTGATGCTATGGTAAGCACAATATCAAAAGGTCTTGTCTCCTTGACACATTTGGACCTTCGCGATACACCCTTAGTGGAACCAAGGGTTTCATTTGATCTTACAAATGCTGGATTGCAACAAATTAATCAACATGGGAAATTGAAGCACCTTTCACTTGTCCGAAGTCAGGAATTACTCATTACCCATTTTAGAAGAGTTAATGATCTAGGGATACTCTTGCTAGCTGACAGATGTACAAACATGGAAAGCATTCATCTTGGTGGGTTTTGTCGTGTTACCGATACAGGTTTCAAAACTATTTTGCATTCTTGCTCCAGCCTATACAAGCTTAAGGTGTCTCATGGCACTCAACTAACTGATTTAGTTTTTCATGATATCACTGCAACTTCACTTTCTCTGACCCATGTCAGTTTGAGATGGTGTAGTCTTCTGACCAACCATGCAGTGAAAAATTTGGCATCGAACCTGGAACTTGAGGTTCTTGACTTGAGATGCTGCAAAAGCCTTGGGGATGGAGCCCTACAAGCTGTCGGTAATCTTCCTAAACTAAAGGTTTTATTATTGGATGGCTCTGATATAAGTGACTCCGGGCTAGCATATTTAAGAGCAAGAGTCATAAGTTCATTAATTTCATTGTCTATTAGAGGGTGCAAAAGACTGACAGATAAATGCATCTCTCTTCTGTTCGATGGCACCTCTAAATTGGTGTTGCGAGAACTGGACCTATCAAATCTTCCTCACCTGTCTGATGGTGGAGTTTTGACGCTTGCAAAGTGTCGAGTTCCAGTAACTGAACTCCGACTTCGACAATGTCCCCATGTAGGTGATACTTCAATCATGGCATTAGCCTCTATGCAGGTTGATGAGGACAGGTGTCATGGTAGTAGTTTGAAGTTGTTGGATCTTTACAATTGTGGTGGCATTACTCCACTCACATTCAGATGGTTAAAGAAACCCTACTTTCCAAGGTTGAGATGGTTAGGGGTGACAGGAAGTGTAAATAGGGATATTGTGGATGCTTTGGCTAGAAATCGACCATTTCTACGCGTGGTGTGCCATGGAGAGGAACTCGGCTTTGACCAGTGGGATGGCTCAGATGGGGTATACATGCATGACTATGATGAAGTGGATGAACTTGAACAGTGGCTCCTAGAAGGTGAGGATGATGAAAGTGAGGATGAAGAGATGGAAGATGCTGAAAATAATGAAGAAATGATACCATAACTTTCCTGAGCAGGGTTTTACTCTATATTTACTGGTATCAAGATGGCAGTTGTAGATATGCAGAAATTGTGACTCTTAGATGAAACAATTTGCTTGACAAGATTATGACCTTGTATGTATGTGTGTATGGATGTAAGGATCTGTTCACCCCTCTGGCTTTGTTATTTATTATGGATGTCCAGTTATATGTGTATAATGTTACTCAATGCACAAACTTTTGATTTCATTCTCCCCAGGTCTGTTCATAGTCCTTTAGGCCCAGTTTGATTTGGTGATGGGAAAGTGGGGAAACCCCGCCCCCGCGCGCAGGACTAACCCTTTTTCTTTCCTCCTTGCATTCCTATTGTAAAAACACCCTTGATCTGAAGGGACAGTTGTTTTTTGGGACAAGAACAGCCCTAGTTTGGTGGAACACCCATAACAATTTGACTTGATGAAAATCTTGTTCCCCAGAAGTCTAGGATGAATGTATGAGGAATGCCCTCAAACCTCAGCATCTGACCTGGCCCATCAACTTTTGCTACTAAAGCTTCATGAATAGAATTATTGCTGGGGGATTCGCAATCCATCCTTTGACCTTTTAAGAAATGATGATGGCTATTGACTACTACTTTTTGCCTCTGGTTGGCCGCAGAAATGATATTGTCTGCCCCTTTGTTGCTGATGTTGGAAAAACACTATATGGATCGGTGATATATATATATATATATATATTCCATTTATTTAACTTTTTAAAATGACTAATTAAATCTTGATTTTAATTACAAATAATGGATAAATTGTTTTGAAATTTATTTTAAATTTAAAATCTTATACTTACGTTAGACATGATCTTACAACATTCAGTTTTAAGTAACTTTTGGATGAACATTAATGAAATTTATGTTATCTACTCTAACCATAGCATTAAAGTCTAGAATATAAATTACCATGATTTATATATATAGTGTTTGATTTTTAAATTAAGAAAAAAGAAATATTATGGTATATATATATATATAATGTTATAATTACGTATCCTGTAAATTAATTTGGAAGAAAGTTGGCAGTGACAAATTGATTTAGAAAGGTTTGTGTTATAATGATGATGAATGTCAGGAATATATCTCTTGGGGAAAAAAAGATCGACAGGTCAGCCAACACGCAGCATGAACGGGACGTTTATATGTGAAACCTTATCCAATTAAATCAACAAAGCTATGATTATGGATGTTTGTCTTTTCTTTTCTCTTCTTTTTCTGAACACTTACTCTGGCAAGTAATCCGCACCATAAAATGTGCATGGTAATTAATTACCAGTTAATTGCTGCAATTAAGGCAGTACTAAATTAAAGTTTTAATCACTTAAATTTAACTTTTATAGTTTATGGTTTAGAAAAAAGAGATACTTATGAATGCACCAACTTAATAGGGAAAAGTAAAATTCTAAAATCATTTATAGACAAATTTTATATCAGTTTATAAAAATAATATCCAATATATAAACTCTTCTTTTGGGTTGTATTTGATATAAATTGTAGGTTACCACTATTTGCCCGACTTAACAGTAGATCAGCTCTATTAAGAGTGCCAAATATTTATATATATATATATACACACACATATAATCTACTGTTTATTTGGATTTGGATTCAATGATTCTTCTTTTAGAAAATAGTTTTTGAATTGGCGGATTATTGGAAATGAGACGATGCCAAAACTCCCAAAGTTTTGTTCTTCTTTTGTAATAGTTTGCATATTAATTATATTCTTTTCTGATTGAGTTACAATTACGGTATTGTTGTTCGGATAAGAAAATAATGAGACAAAATCTTGTAACCTTGTTTTCTACAAAAATAAATATTAAAATTAGTCTATAAGATTACATATTTTACTTACGAGCCTATTGAGTCTTTGGTATTTCATTTTTTTATTTTAATTGTCACTTTTTATCATATACAATTTAATTTTCGAAGCAAGTTAAAAACAAGAAGTAGGTTAAATAAGAATGAGTTATACACGTACATATAGGTATTTGGATAATAAGTACGTATAAATGTGATGATAAAAAATTAAAAACTAACATCATATAAACCATTTTATTTGTTTACTTTAATTTTATGAACTCATTTAATACAATAATTTTTATAATTTTCTTTATATTTTAATATTTTACCTACTGTATTCTTATTCGTATTAGACTACTGCAGTAAGTTAAAATATTCTAAAGTGATTTTCAATCTCTCTTTATGAACCAGATGTTAATTTGTTCGCAAATATGAGAGAATAAAGGCACCATAGGGGCATGTCTACACCTATTTGGTGATCCACCGATCCCATCGAAAGTGGAAGTTCAATATTGACGCCTTTATATAAGGCTAACCTAGTCTTGCAGGAGTTGACGAGGTATTTAGAGGTGGAAGTGGTGTGGTTAAATGCATTTTTTTTTAATAGTGGGGGATTGGCATATCCGAATCAAACTAAATTGTTGACAATTTAAGAGGTTTTTGTTATCCTTACTATTTGTAAGGATGTTAAAAAAAATGGAGTTCATTACTGGGATTGATTCTACAATAGCTATTTTATGGGCTAAAAAGAATTTCATTTCTTAGATTTTGAGTGATATAACAAATAAGATAAAAAATGATATCCTCTTGATCCATTCGTTGGAGTTTCATCATATTGATAAGGAAAGGATTATGGTAGTCAATTCTTTAGCTATGATAGATTTAGGATAGAGAAAAATGTGCTTGTTTGGTTATATTTTGTGTTTAATATCAGGATTTTTCAGTCTAATACATTTTTATTACTTTCCTTCTTTTTTTTTTGTTTATTTATGTCTTTATATTTTCTGGTCTGATGGTTTTTTTAAAAATATTTTTGGTCATTGGGAGTCACTTGACAATTTAATATGAGGGGTTAACCCAATATGGTTTTATTATTCCCTTGGCTTTTTGTATGTTTTGTATCTTGTGCAAGTTTGTGGCATCCTTTAGTCAGCTCTCGGTTGTTGTTAGTTGTAGTCGTGGATGTTAGATTTTTTTCTCACACATTTTTAAAGCTTTTTTTATGCATTGTTCTTATGTGGTTCATTTTCTTATTTAGTGTCCTATGTGGTTTGGCTGGTTGAGGTTGGTTTTTTCTTATTACTGTAAAGTTGTTGTGAACTATTTTATGGCGTTAAAAGTAATTTTGTTATATCATCATGTATTATCTTATTTTATATGTCTTTCTAGTTATTGTTAATGTCACTAATGTGTCACTATCTTCTCTTTTGCTTGCTTTAATTTGTTGATTGTCGATTGTATCTTTTTGTATTTACTCAAAGGTGTTAGAAACACTGTTAAGGCAGGACACCTTTTTATGCTTTCTATTATTCTTTTTTGATTTTGTGGCTTTCATCTTCCTTGCTTTTGGCTGGTTAATTTATCGTAATAGTTTTTGTAACGGCCCCGGAAATTCAAAAGGAAATACATATAATAATTTGAGTGCGGAAGCGAAATAAAAGATTAAATTTAACATCCCTTACACAATAACTTAAAAATACTAAACAATATCATGGAATAAGTCTCTAAAAGAAATACGAGAAATGAGAAAAATAAATGAAACTATAAAGTATCTAGTATCTACTCGCCGTCTTCTTGTGGATCGAGCTCGGAAACTAGGTCCTCCTAATCTGAAATTATTAAATAAGGAATGAGCTACACTAGTCCAGTAAGGACATCACACTATATCACCGTCACAGAAGTAAATGTTGGTAGAAAATAAAAAAAAAATAACCAATGGAGCACAAAGTTTAAAGTAATACATTTATTTAAAATAAATCTATTTACTCTTTTTCTTACCAATGGAGAACCTGTGAAAATAACCTATAAAGACAATAACATCATACAGATCATAATTTCATGCATAATCAGTAATATAAAATATATCATGACAGATCCGTATTCATTAACAATAACTGATTATCACCGTTTCTCGTTTTCACCAGCCTACTATATCTATGGCGATCCATAGGGATGTCTCCGCTACACGTGAACCATTCTCCTTAACAATCTTAATTTCAGGGCCATCTCCATACCCCGTCCGGTATGAGGGTGAAGCGGGTCGTCCCCATACCCCGTCCGATATGAGCGCCAAATTACCAAGTCTCCATACCCATTCCGGTATGAGACAACGTTCACAGTATGGTTTCCTATGAACCTGATTGGTCAACCATCTCCCTGGATATCTAGTGAGGCTGTCACCTTATCTGTTTTCCGGTAGTCTCCGTTACCAAGTTGAACATAATCACATAAACAATAAACATGCACCCAATAATACAATCATATTGTAAATTCTAAAATCACACAGTGGTCAAGTAAGACAGTAATACATGCATTTAAAACCATAGAATAAATAGACCAGATACCATAATGCATTTAAACTGTAAAATAAATCAAACAGGAATCGACAGAGAATAATGTCTGATTTCGGGCTCCATTAGCAACCTTAATTAATTATGCATATCTATTAATTTGCATAAAATACAGTATTACAATTTATTCAAACTTTAATTCTATGATATGAACTAGGGTGAAGGGTCCTTACTTGATTTGACGCTGAAAACTAGATTGTTACTGCGCCTATGGGCGGTCCCTAGGTTCCCTAAATTTTTTCTCGGGAACTGAAATGCGTTTATAGTACCTACACATGTTCCAAATAACCCAAAAATTAGATCCATGGCCTATTTTGCTGTTTTCGACCGAATTCAGCCAAACTAGCATCGGTTCCTGTGAGAAAACACACTTAGGGCCCTCGATGGACCGAAAAAATGTAGAAAACTGAAACTCACCGGCGGTGGGGCTCTCCGATGCGGCGACTCCTCGGGCTCACGTTGCGGTTAGGTGTTTTGTTTCGGTCAACCTGTAGTAGCCAAAAATTACTCTAGTGCGGTGGCGAGTGGCAGCAGTCGGCTTCCCGGCGGCTGGGCTATCTTCTCCGGCGAGGGGCTCTGGTGGCTAGGGTTAGGGTTTGGGTGCGGTTGTGATTATTTATACCCATCCACTTTTAATCTGGGTCGTTCATCGTTTTTAATCTAGACCGTCCGATCGCGATTAAATAGGGAGTGAATCTGGGTCGTTCATCGCGATTCAATATGGACTGTCCGTGCACGATTCAATTTGGGTCGTCCTTGTGCGATTCAATCTGGACCGTCTGTGCGCGATTCAATATGGATCGTCTGTGTGCGCGAGAACAGATCTCAGT